GGCCTGGGTCTAATGGTATTTAATAAATTACAATAAAACGGTTTTAAATCCAACAAAATTAATAATTTTGTTCTCTCATTCACGCAATAACCACCAAGCTCAAGCACAGTCTCTTCATTAATTGTAAATGAAAACACTTAAGATAAATGTGCATTCGCTGGGCAACGGCGCTCGCCAATCAACCACCCGCACACATCACCCCATCCTCCACCTCGCCACAACCCCAGCACCACCCATACCACTACCACACACACATCCACCCAAGGGTCCTACCCTATCAATCCCATCTCCCGCCCGTCTTGTCCTTCATTCGGCCCCTCACTACATTACCACACACGTAAAATCCCCAGCTCCCCCGCGGTCACTAACTAACCCCATCCCACCCCCGCATCCTTACCCATACGCCCGAATCCCCAGATAAACCCGACCCTCCAGCCCTATCACAATCTCTCCACCGACGGACACCCCCACCCCACCCCCCCGTCCAACTAGCGCCCATCCCCTGGGGGCACACACACAGAGCCCTTTCCAACACTACCAAAAACCCTGGAACAACATGATGCCCTGGTTCGAGCTATCAGAAGAAAACAAACCAACCGACCAAAGAAAGACTTAGATTGGCAAGGGTCAATAGACCCCAGCTGATAACCTCACCCTCATGTATTAACACGCCGGAGATATATGGATGGAGCAAATTGTTCATGATGAACTAAATTTAGTCAGGACACAACTATTCATTTTAGTGATATCCGTCCCAAAACAGGATAGTACCCCATTGTCCAGTCACCCTCTTCACAACAAGTCATCAGATTCCTCCTACTCCCCATCTTGAAAAGGAGAACTCTCCCACCTTCCTCCCTGCCCATCTCCACCTCCTCCACTTCCCCCTCTCCACCACCTCCGTCATCTCCCGCTCCCCATCTCCACCTAGCTCCTCCCCTCCCCATCTCCACCCCCTTCCACTCACCATCTTCCACAACCGTCCCATCGCCTCCTCCCCGCTCTCCCCTCTCTCCACCTCCTCCCTCCCCATCATTCCACCTCTCCCTCCACTCCCCATCTCCACCCCCTTCCACTCCCCCATCCAATCCATCCACCGTCCGTCGCCCCTCGCCCCGATCCCACCATCCGGTCTCCCTCCCTCTGAGTTCCACCTCCTCCACTCCCCATCTCCACCCCCTTCCCGCCCCGCTGTGTCTCTCGTCAGCTCTTTATTTCTTTCTTCGCGTCGGTGTCGATTGGGGTTGGAGCGTACGTTCCTCCCCTCGCCCATCTCCACCATCCCATCCACTCGCCGCATCTCCACCCCCGTCAACCTCCCCATCTCCCCCTCCTCCACTCCGCAGTCTCACCTCCTCCTCCTTCCTCCCCTTCCGCATCTCCACCATCCTCAGGCCTGCCGCATCCCACCTCCTCCCCTCCCCATCTCACTCCATACACCCTCATGTCCCGCATCTCCACCTCTCCCCCCCCCATCAGTCCACCGCGTCCTCCCCTCCTATCTCATCTTCTCCACCCCCTTTCCAATCCCCATCTCCACCTCCTCCCCGAATCCGAGACCCCATCTCACCTCTCCAACTCCCCATCTTACACCCCCATTCACTCCCATATCGCACTTCCCCTTCCAGCTCGGTCCCCTCTCCCCCCCCTTCCCTCTCCATCTCCCACTCCACTCCGCCCCCCATCTTCCACCCGCTTCCCAGTCCCCCATCTCCACCGATCCGCCCCTCCTCCCCTCCGCGCCATCGCCACCTCCTCAGCCCTCCCATCTCCACATCCTCCCCTCCTCTCCCTCCCCACTCCACCCCCTTCCACCACCCATCGTACTCCAACGCACCCCCTTTGCCCCCGTCCCACTGCCCATCTCCACAGGAGCCACAAACATTCTTGAATCCAAAGCAATCCCTTCCCGTCCCCTCTCCACCCCCTTCGCACTCTACTCCATCTCCCCCCCTTCCACTCCCTATCCCACCATCAACCCCCTTGCCACTCCCCATCTCCCCCCCTCCCTTGTTCTTTTCCGTCCTCGTGTCTCTCCCTCTAGTACCCACTTATTGTGCTCTTCTTTTTTAATCTCTCCTTCCTTCCGTTCCATCCTCCTTTTTCTCCTCCTACTTCCTCTTTACCTCCTCTGCCGTAAGCGTTCCTGAGCCACACTCCCCCGTGGGGTGCGCGACATTGGCCACTGTGTCATGGACATCCTCGCGAGGCCTGTGTAGTATTCCCGCAGCAACCGACCCCACTCGGTCGGATTCTGCAATCAGAATCGGTGGGATCCGTGATGGGTTGGTGTTTTTATGATACAGTAATTGGTTAGTTACACCGTATTTTCACACACATATATATTATGGTGATCTACGTCGTGCGTCCATGACCTGATGGGGAATATGAATGCGTAGCCAGAGAGGTGTGTGGCAATCATGATGTAATCGTATTTTGATGTTGGGGCTCCCATGTATGGGGTCTTATACCCTGTGAGACCCCATGCCGGGTTCCCATGTCCCTGATGCAATCCTGTCGGGGGGGGCCCCTGACCCCACTAAGGAACCCGTAATGGCTGGTCCCATTGACCCAGTGGCATTATGATAACACAATGACAGGGGTCCCATGCCCATGATGTAACCCATACGGGGGGGTCCCGATACCATGAATAGGAACCCATGACGGGGGGTCCCATGTGGGGCGTGGGCGACAAGAAATAGGCTGAAAGCTACGACCTATGTTGATGTTTGTTAGGAGCACTTTAGGGACAGAGAAAAACCACAATGTGCTGTATACGGAGGATCCCTGAAGGGGGGTCCCATGAGCCCATGAGGGAACACCGCATAACGGGTGTGTGTTGGTCACCATGACCAATGATGGACCTAGTGGAGGTTTCCCAAGGCCCATGATGGAACCCACACTAACGGTTGACGTTGCGCAGAGGGCTTCATAGGGCTCTGCGCGATGACCCTGATGAACCTAATACAGGGGTGTCCAAGAGCACAAGATGGAAACCATAATTGGGGTCCCATACCCATATGAACCCATAATGGGGGTGTCCCAAGGCACAAGATGGAACCCATGACAGGGGTCCTATACTTATGATGGATCACATGATTGGGTGGGTGTCCCAAGGCCCATGTGGAACCCTGATGGGGGTGTCCAAGGCCCTGATGGAACCCCTGACAGTGTCCCAGACATTGATATGAAATCCATGGTGGGGTGTCCATGATCCATATTAACCCATGATGCATCAGTGCCCCTGTAAGGAGAGACTCAGAGCCTCCTTTATGCTCGTCCTCCACCACATCAAAACACCATGAGAGATGGACCCTCTGGCCAGGCAGGATAGACCTCGTCCCCAGGGGCGTGCCCACCCAGCCCCTGCCCTCCACACCCGCCTCTGGAAATAGGGGTATTTTGTGGCCAGCCGGCCGTGGGGAGTGGCGCTAGGCTGTGAGGGGAGCACGTATGGGGCATTGGGCCACTCACAAATCACCGAAAAGCCCGACGCAGCTCTGGTCTACGCAGGGGAACGCGAAGGCTCCTGCTTGAGCCTGGTCACTAGGATAAAGTCTGATGGCGACCCTCGGGATTGTCCCCCGAAGGTGATTGTCACTGAACCACGCAGCCAAGTGAAGTCCCCTCGCTGGATTCTGTATGTAAGTGGGACACAGGGGTGCTGCTCTGGCCACTGCGTGAAGACCACAAGACACACTAATTCAGGACGGGCCAAGGGCCTGAGCCACCGCGCCCCGGGGACACCTCGGCCTGCCGAGCTACACACTCGTCCTCCTCTCCTGCCTCTCTCCTCCTTCTTCTTCATGTCCATCTCCTCGCCTTCGTCCTTTATTCTCTTCTTTCTTCTCTTCCTCCTCCCCTCTCCCCTCCTGCTCTCCCCTACTCCTGCAATGCTCATCTTCTATCTGACTCATCCTCCCTCCACCCTCCTCTGCCTTCTCCCCGCCTCCTCGTCTGCACCCCAAGGCCGAACCTACTCGCGATGGCTGACCGCCCAGGTGGTACTGGACGTCCCCGGGGCCTCGGGACCCACGGCCCACTGCAGGTCATCAGGTCCACCCCGTGACCCAGCACGTCAGGTTCTGCGCGGCTGCCTGCGGATTCCCACCTGCGTGCGCCCACACGGAAAGAAAACGCCCGTCGCGGTCCTGGCACGGGGGCCTGCCCGCCTGATCACCCTCAAGCACTAGCCATTCGGGAGGCCGAAGCAGGTGGAATCACCTGAGGTCGGGAGGTCGAGACCAGCCTGGCCAGGATGGTGAAACCCAGTGTCTGCTAACAACACGCAAGCTAAATGACCCGGGGGCGTGGTGGCGGGGGGCCTGTCAGACATCTACCAGATGCTCGGGAAGAGGCCTGATGCGGGAGGATCGCTGGAACCCCGGGAGGCGGAGGCTGCCGTGAGCCGAGTCACGCCACTTGCACTCCAGCCTGGGCCACAGAGCGAGCCTCTTGTCTCAGTCATAATAATAATTAGGTGGGGCATGGTGGCTCCTGCCTGTGGTCCGCGCCTTCATGGGAAGATGAGGCAAAAGGATCGTTTCACACCAAGGGTTCAAGGCGGGCACTGAGCTGGGATGGGGCCGCTGCACTCACAGCCTGGGCCGCAGACGGGGACGTTGTCTTCCAACAAAGGACGAGAGAAAGACGGTGAAAAAGAGAGAGAGACGCAGGAAAGGGAGCAGGGATGAAGGAAGGAGGGAGGGAAGCAGGGAGGGAAGGGGGAAGGGGAAAGCACGAAGAGCCCTGGCCTGTGCTCTCACCGGCCTCCGGGAAGAGGATCCAGGCCGAGAAGGGCGGGCTGGCGGCCGTGACGCTGTAGTTGGTCACCTCACAGAAGGAAATGGCTTCGAACTGGCAGTAGCGATCACTCATCGCCTGAGAAACACACAGCGTCACACGGTTGCTGACAGACGAGGCTGAGTTGGACGGTAACGATGTTTCTTTTTTTTTTTTTTTTTGAGGCGGAGTCTCGCTCTTGTGGCCCAGGCTGGGGTGCCGTGGTGTGATCTCAGCTCACTGCGACCTCCACCCCCCGGGTTCAAGCGATTCTCCTGCCTCAGCCTCCCGAGTCACTGAGACGACAAGCACCCGCCACCGTGCCTGGCTAATTTTTAAAATAGTTTTGGGTAGAGGCCGGGTTTCTCCATGTTGGCCAGGCTGGCCTCGAACTCCTGGCCTCAGGTGATGCACCCGCCTCAGCCTCCCGAAGTGCCGGGCTGACAGGCACCCCCAGCTCACCCCGCTGATTTCTGCATTTTTAGTAGAGACGGGGTTTCACCATCTTGGCCGGGCGGAGACTTAAACTCCTGGCCTCGGGATGCAGCTGCTGAAGTGCGGGGGTTACAGGCATGAGCCGCCGTGGCCGGCCTGTTTCTTTGATTTGTTGTGACAGGGACTCACTGCGCAGGGTCAGGAAAGAAGGAAGCAAACGGAGCAGGTCAAAACGCCTGCGCGTATCAGGACTGTGAATAGCCACTACGCTCCAGCCTGGGCAACGTAGCAAGACCCCATCTCGAACAAAACAAAACAAAACAAAACAAAGCAAAAAAACAGAGAGAGAGAAAATACGATTTACATGTATTCCATAGTCTGGACCTTTCTGGCACTGAATACCGGTCACATTCCCATCCACATCCCATGTCAACGTCTGAGTTGTGGCTTCCACCCTTAAGTTCCTGATGGCGGGCTTTGTCACTAAAACGGTGAGAGTTTTCAGTGAGAAGACATACACGATCCACAGGAATGTGAACACAGCAGTGAACCCCGGGCGGTGGCTGAGGCCTGTCATCCTGGCACTTGGGTCACTGGAGGTCAGGAGTTCGAGACCAGCCTAGCCAGCAGGGTGCAACCCCTTTGCTACTAAAAATACAAAGATGAACCAGAAGTGGTGGCTCATACCTGTCATCCCATCCCTTTGGGAGGCTGACGCTGGTGGCTCACCTGAAGTCAGGAGCTCAGGACCAGCCTGGCCAACATGGTGAAACCCCTTCTCTACTAAAAATACAAAACGTAACTGGGATTGGTACCAGGGACCTGCAAACCCAGCTACTCGGGAGGCGGAGGCAGGAGAATCTCTTGAACCCAGGAGGTGGAGGCTGCACTGAACTGAGATCGTGCCACTGCACTCCAGCCTGGCCAACAGAGTAAGACTCCATCTCAAAAACAAAAACAAAAAAGCATTGTAACTGGTACTGTTTTTTTGTTTTTTATGGTTTTTTTGTCATTGGAGTTACCCAATACCCGGTGAGCCACTTTGCATGCCCAGAGAATGTCCTTTTCAATAGAAGCCACGACTGTCGTATTACTGGAAAAGCAGCATACGTCCGTTCAAACGCACAGTGCCGTGTAATGAAATATGAACATAACACCACAGTGTCAGAGTAGAAGGAGGTTTCTCTGTCTCTTTCATTTATCTTTCTGCAATGGAGTCTCCCTCTGTGGCCCAGGCTGCAGTGCAGGGGTGTGATTTCCACTCACTGCAGCCTCCGTCTCCTGGATTCAAGCGATTCTCCTGCCTCAGCCTCCCGAGTAGCTGGGATGACAGGTGGCCGCCACCACACCTGGCCAATTTTTGTATTTTTAGTAGCAATGGGGTTTCACCATGTTGGCCAGGCTGGTGTCGAACTCCTGACCTCATGATCCGTCCACCCTGGCCTCCCAAAGTGCTGGGATGACAGGCGTGAGCCACCGTGCCCGGCCTAAGGAGGTCTCTCTCGGCCATCACAGGGCTCATTGTATTTCATAATCGACTCGTAGAGAGATGGAAAAGGCGATATTCTTTTACACTTGGCTAGTCACCCAAAGCCAGAAACCTACACCAGATATTTCTCAAGGGTTTATCTCTCCTCGGCCACTTAGAAAACCCAGAGGAAATGACTGTTTATAAACTGTAAGAATCATGAGTAGTTATCAAGGTCAACAACCTTACTGTAATAAGCAAGACCAAAGCATAAAAACAGCCAGATTCCTATCACGATCTTCTCCTAACTTAGAAGGATAGTTGATTCCTTAAAACAAACTCTCAGCGCTGTGCAGTGGCTCACACCTGCAATCGCAGCACTTTGGGAAGCTGAGGTTGGGTGTTCAAGACCAGCCTGACCAACATGGTGAGACCCTGTCTTAAAAGAAAGACAGAAAGAAACAAAGAAGGAATTGGAAGGGAGCAAGAAAGGAAGAAATGAACTAAGGAAAGAAGAAAGGAAGGAAGGCAGGAAATAAATAAATATGGGAAGGAGAGAGAGAGAGAGAGAAGATACACAATCAATGAAACGGCCAACAGAAATTGGTGCTATCGATTCCAGCTCCCAGTGTCATGCACACACCTCACATGGCGTCTGTGTCATGATCAGACCCTGCCTGTGACTTTTTGTCTTTTTTTTTTTTTCCATAGAGACAGGGTTTCACCACGTGGGCCAGGCTGGTCTCGATGTCCTGACCTCGTGATCTGCCCACCTCGGCCTCCCAAAGTGCTGGAATGACAGCGTGAGGCACCGTGCCTGGGATTCTTTTTTTTTTAATTTTTTTTTTTTTTTTTGAGATGGAGTCTCGCTCTGTCACCCAGGCTGGAGTGCAGTGGCACCATCTCAGCTCACTGCAACGTCCGTCCCACCACCCCGGGTTCAAGCGATTATTATGCCTCAGTCTCCTGAGCAGCTGGGATGACAGGTGCCCAGCACCACGAGCAGCTGATTTTGGTATTTTTAGTAGAGATGGCGTTTCACCACGTTGGCCAGGCTGGTCTCGAACTCCTGACCTCGTGATCCGCCTGCCTCAGCCTCCCAAAGTGCTGGGGTGACAGGCCTGAGCCACCATGCCCGTTCAGCTTGTGTGTGGTGTTTTTTTTTTTTTTTTTTTTTTTTTTTCTCTAGCTCTTACTCTGGTTGGTTTGCAGGAGGCCGGGCCCGGGCATCAGCAGCAGCGTGAGCCACAGGAGGACCATGGGGAACGCAGCTCTCTCAGGACCGAGGTGCCTGCTGGAGGACAAGGCAGAGTCAGGCAGCGGGGAGCGGCCCTGAGACGGGGCTGCGGGTGGTGAAGGGTGCTGGACAGCACAAGATGCTGCTTCTGGAGGGAGGGCTGCTGTGAGTGTGAGTGTGACGGTGTGTGTATGTGAGTGTGTATGTGGACGGGGTGTTTCTGAGTGTGTCTGTGTGTGTGAGTCTGGGAGCGTGTGTGTGTTGAATGTGTGTGTGTGTGTGACTGTGGGAGCATGGGAGCATGTGTGTGTCAGTGTGTATGAGTGCATGTTGAACCTGTGTGTGTGTGAATGTGTGTTGTGTGTGTTGAGTGCATGTGAATGTGTGTGTGTTTGAGTGTAGGAGTCTGAGTGTGTGGGTGTGAGTGTGTGACTGTATGTCTGAGTGTGAATGTGTGTGTGTTTGTTCAGTGTAGGAGTCTGAGTGCGTGGCTGTGTGACTTTGAGCATGTATCTGTTGTGAATGTGTGTTTGTTGAGTTTAGGAGTGTGTGCATGTGGGCATTTGTGTGTGAGCATGTGTGTGTTGAATGTGTGTGTTGAATGTGGGAGTGTGTATGTATGTCGGAGTGTGAATGTGTTGAGTGTAGGAGTGTGTGTGTATGTGTAAGCGTGTTTGTGTGTGAATGTGTGTGTTTGTTGAGTGTGTGGAGTGTGTCTGAGTGTGAATGTGTGTGGTTGTCTGCACATGCATGTGTGTCTGTGTAAATGTGTGTGTGTTGAGTGTGGGGATGTATTAGTGTGTGTGTCTGAGTGTGAATGCATGTGGGGGTGTGTGTCGAGTGTGTGTCAGTGTGTGTGTGCGTGTATGTGCAAATACACCTGTGCAGACACATGCACTCAAGGCGTCTGAGATGATACTAGAGCTTCTGCGTGGAAGCCACATACAAATCATTAATGAGATGTAAAACATCCTCCTTTGGGGGCAGGTTGTTCAGTGCGGTGTGTGTCAGGTTGTTCAGTGGGGGTGTGTGTCAGGCTGTTTAGTGGGGTGTGTTTCAGGCTGTTCAGTGGGGTGTGTGTCAGGTTGTTCAGTGGGGTGTGTGTCAGGCTGTTTAGTGGGGTGTGTTTCAGGCTGTTCAGTGGGGTGTGTGTCAGGCTGTTCAGTGGGGGATGTGTCTGGTTGCTCACTGGGGTGTGAGTCATGCTGTTCAGTGGGGTGTGTGTCTGGTTGTCCAGCGGGGTGCGTGTCAGGTTGTTCAGTGGGGTGTGTTAGCTGTTCAGTGTGGTGTGTGTCTGGTTGCTCACTGAGGTGTGTGTCAGGTTGCTCAGTGTGGGGTGTGTCTGGTTGTTCACTGGGTTGAGTCACACTGTTCAGTGAGATGTGTGTCACATTGTTCGGTGGACTGTGCGTTAGCTGTTCAGTGTGGTGTGTGCTTGCTCACTGGGGTGTGTCAGGTTGCTCAGTGTGGTGTGTGTCTGTTCACTGGGGTGAGAGTCACGCTGTTGAGTGGGGCGTGTGTCAGGTTGCTCACTGGATTGTCAGGTGGCTCACTAGGGTGTGTGTCAGGTTGCTCAGTGTGGTGTGTGTCTGGTTGTTCACTGGGGTGTGAGTCACGCTGTTCGGTGTGGTGTGTGTCACGTTCTTCAGTGGGGTGTGTGTTAGCTGTTCAGTGTGATGTGTATCTGGTCGCTCACTGGGGTGCGTGTCAGGTTGCTCGGTGTGGTGTGTGTCTGGTTGTTCACTGGGGTGTGAGTCACGCTGTTCAGTGTGGTGTGTGTCAGGCTGTGCAGTGGGATGTGAGTCATGCTGTTCAGTGGGGTGTGTGTCAGGTTTCTCACTGGGTTGTCAGGTGGCTCACTGGGGTGTGTGTCAGGTTGCTCAGTGTGGTGTGTGTCTGGTTGCTCACTGGGGTGTGTGTCCAGTTGCTCAGTGGGCTGTGTGTCAGGTGTCCAGTGGGGTGTGCGTCAGGTTGCTCAGTGGGGTGTGTGTCTGGCTGCTCACTGGGGTGTGTGTCAGGCTGCTCACTGGGGCGTGTGTCAGGCTGTTCAGTGGGATGTGTGTCTGGTTGGTCAGTGTGGTGTGTGTCAGGTTGCTCAGTGGGGTGTGTGTCTGACTGCTCACTGGGGTGCGTGTCAGGTTGTTCAGTGGGATGTGTGTCTGGTTGGTCAGTGTGGTGTGTGTCAGGTTGCTAAGTGGGGTTTGGGTCTGGCTGCTCACTGGGGTGTGTGTCAGGTTGCTCAGTGTGGTGTGTGTCTGGCTGCTCACTGGGGTGTGTGTTAGGTTGTTCAGTGGGATGTGCGTCTGGTTGGTCAGTGTGGTGTGTGTCAGGTTGCTCAGTGGGGTGTGTGTCTGGCTGCTCACTGGGGTGTGTGTCTGGTTGCTCACTGGGTTGTGTGTCTGGTTGCTCACTGGGGTGTGTGTCAGGCTGTTCAGTGGGATGTGTGTCTGGTTGGTCAGTGTGGTGCGTGTCAGGTTGCTCAGTGGGGTGTGTGTCTGACTGCTCACTGGGGTGTGTGTCAGGTTGTTCAGTGGGATGTGTGTCAGGTTGTTCAGTGGGATGTGTGTCTGGTTGCTCAGTGGGGTGTGTGTCTGGCTGCTCACTGGGGTATGTGTCAGGTTGTTCAGTGGGATGTGTGTCCGGTTGGTCAGTGTGGTGTGTGTCAGGTTGCTCAGTGGGGTGTGTGTCTGGCTGCTCACTGGGGTGTGTTTGTCAGGTTGTTCAGTGGGATGTGTGTCCGGTCGGTCAGTGTGGTGCGTGTCAGGTTGCTCAGTGGGGTGTGTGTCTGGCTGCTCACTGGGTTGTGTGTCCAGTTGCTCAGTGTGGTGTGTGTCAGGTTGCTCAGTGTGGTGTGTGTCTGGCTGCTCACTGGGATGTGTGTCAGGTTGTTCAGTGGGGTGTGTGTCTGGTCGGTCAGTGTGGTGCATGTCAGGTTGCTCAGTGGGGTGTGTGTCTGGCTCCTCACTGGGTTGTGTGTCCAGTTGCTCAGTGTGGTGTGTGTCCAGTTGCTCAGTGGGATGTGCGTCTGGTTGCTCAGTGGGGTGTGTGTCTGGCTGCTCACTGCGGTGTGTGTCAGGTTGTTCAGTGGGATGTGCGTCTGGTTGCTCAGTGGGGTGTGTGTCTGGCTGCTCACTGGGATGTGTGTCAGGTTGTTCAGTGGGATGTGCGTCTGGTTGCTCAGTGGGGTGCGTGTCAGGTTGCTCAGTGGGGTGTGTGTCTGGCTGCTCACTGGGGTGTGTGTCTGGCTGCTCACTGGGGTGTGTGTCAGGTTGTTCAGTGGGATGTGTGTCTGGTTGGTCAGGGTGGTGTGTGTCAGGTTGCTCAGTGGGGTGTGTGTCTGGCTGCTCACTGGGGTGTCTGTCAGGTTGTTCAGTGGGATGTGTGTCTGGTTGGTCAGGGTGGTGTGTGTCTGGCTGCTCACTGGGGTGTGTGTCAGGTTGTTCAGTGAGATGTGTGTCTGGTTGGTCAGTGTGGTGCGTGTCAGGTTGCTCAGTGGGGTGTGTGTCTGGCTGCTCACTGGGGTGTGTGTCAGGTTGTTCAGTGGGATGTGCGTCTGGTTGGTCAGTGTGGTGCGTGTCAGGTTGCTCAGTGGGGTGTGTGTCTGGCTGCTCACGGGGTGTGTGTCAGGTTGTTCAGTGAGATGTGTGTCTGGCTGGTCAGTGTGGTGCGTGTCAGGTTTCTCAGTGTGGTGTGTGTCTGGCTGCTCACTGCGGTGTGTGTCTGGTTGGTCAGTGTGGTGCGTGTCAGGTTGCTCAGTGGGGGGTATCTCTGGCTGCTCACTGGGGTGTGTGTCAGGCTGTTCAGTGGGATGTCTGTCTGGTTGGTGAGTGTGGTGTGTGTCAGGTTGCTCAGTGGAGTGTGTGTCTGGCTGCTCACTGCGGTGTGTGTCAGGTTGTTCAGTGGGATGTGTGTCAGGTTGCTCAGTGGGGTGTGTGTCTGGCTGCTCACTGGGGTGTGTGTCAGGCTCTTCAGTGTGGTGTGTGTCAGGTTGCTCACTGGGGTGTGTGTCAGGTTGCTCAGTGGGGTGTGTGTCTGGCTGCTCACGGGGTGTGTGTCAGGTTGTTCAGTGGGATGTGTGTCTGGTTGGTCAGTGTGGTGCGTGTCAGGTTGCTCAGTGGAGTGTGTGTCTGGCTGCTCACTGCGGTGTGTGTCAGGTTGTTCAGTGGGATGTGTGTCTGGTTGCTCAGTGGGGTGTGTGTCTGGCTGCTCACTGGGGTGTGTGTCAGGTTGTTCAGTGGGATGTGTGTCTGGTTGGTCAGGGTGGTGTGTGTCAGGTTGCTCAGTGTGGTGTGTGTCTGGCTGCTCACTGGGTTGTGTGTCCAGTTGCTCAGTGGGGTGTGCGTTGGTCACAGACAGGAGGTGTGAGCAGAAACCCGTTACGTGCTGACACCCGTGCCTGGCTTCTGTCCCTGCCAGCCTGGATTGAGGGTCACACACGCCATGGCCACCCCGGCTGCCCGGCTGCCCTCATGCCCCCGGAGAGAGAGGACTTTACCTTAAATGCAGACGGAAGTCCCGTGTGGGAGAAGCAGCCTTCCTAGCTCCGGTGCAGAAGGCCCGAGGTGTCCCCATCCGAGGCCTGTGTCCCCAACTCTGCACGTTCCCGTGATTTTCCTGTTTGCGCTGCAGGAAGCTTCTCCAAAGAGAAAGCGAAGCTTCCATCCCCCCTGCAGCCGTTTTATAACCTCCCGCGCAGCCCCACCCCTGGGACTCAGACCCAAGGCCCATCTGGCAGGGAGGGGGCCTTCCTGACACCCCCTCTCCCGGGGGCCGGCATTCCGGGGTCAGTGGCTTTTGGTCACTGCGGCCGGATGTCCTTGAAAGAGAAACTCTTTCTTTGAAAATGGTCATTCCCCCCCCACCCCCAGTTCTCATGTTCCGGCGTCTGTTCCCCGTAGTCATAATTATACTTGGTGCCCGGTATTCAGACAGGATGGGGAGGCTTCCTGACTAAGCAAACGCAGCCCTGGAGGGGTGAGTGCCTGTGGGCTGGGGTTCCTGGCTGTGTTTCCTCTCCATCCCATGGGAAGGACACCCCCGCCGTCCCCAGATGGGGAGGTGACCCCCGGCCTCAGATGATGTACCTTATTACAGTTATATTAGCGGCCAGACTTGCTAATATACACCTCCCATTCCAGCACTTTGGGAGGCCGAGGCACCTGAGGTCAGGAGTTCGAGACCAGCCTGGCCAACATGGCGAAACCCTTTGTCTACTAAAAAGTCAAAACTTAGCCAGGCCTGGTGGTGGGTGCCTCTACTCCCAGCTACTCAGGAGGCTGAGGCAGGAGAATCTCCTGAACCCAGAAGACGGAGGTTGCACTGAGCTGAGATTGGGTCACTGCACTCCAGCCTGGGTGACAGAGTGACACTCTCCCTCAAAAAACAAAACAAACAAACAAAAAGGAATCTTAGTGGCCGGGGCCAGTGCCTGACGCCTGTCATTCCAGCACTTTAAGAGGCTGATGCAGGTGGATTTCCTGAGGTCAGGAGTTCGAGGCCAGCCTGGCCAACAGGGGGAAACCTCATCTCGACTGAAAAGCAAAACAAAACAAAACAAAAAAACAAAAAAATTACCTGGGAGTGGTTGCAGGGGCCTGTAATCCCAGCTACTCAGGAGGCTGAGGTAAGAGAATAGCTTGAACCCGGGAGGCAGAGTCTGCAGTGAGCTGAGATCAGACCACTGCACTCCAGCTCCAGCCTGGGTGACAAGAGCAAACCTCTGTCAAAAAAAAAAAAAAAATCCGTTGGGAAAGTCCAACCCTGAACGCGGCCCCCTCCAACGTGTACCCAGCTTCCCTTTCCAATGCTGCAATCCGCTATTTCTTTTTAGTTGGCAAACGCACTCCCAGACACCCCTCCCTCTCCCTCTGAATCTATCACCTCTTCTCTCCTTGTTGGCGCAATTCCCGAATTCCAGCCTAACCTCAGCCCCCGGAGCCTCCGCCTTGCAGACAGGATCCCTCCTTTTTTCTTTGAGATGGAGTTCAGGCTGGAGTGCAGTGGGGTGATCAGGGATCACTGCAGCCTCCGCCTCCCGGGTTCAGGTGATTCTCCTGCCTCAGCCCCCTGAGTAGCTGGGATGACAGGTGCCTGCCACCACACCTGGCTAATTTTTGTCATTTTAGTAGAGCTGGGGTTTCACCGTGTTGGCCAGGCTGGTCTCGAACTCCTGACCTCAGGAGATCCACCCACCTTCCTTCTTTCTTTCTTTCCTTCTATTCTCTCTTTCTCTCTCTCTTTCCCTTTCTTTTCCTTCCTTCCTCCCTTCTTTCTCCATCTCAGGACTAGCAGTCACCGCAGCCCCCAACACAGTCCTCCTTGGAGACACACAAGACAGAAGCCAATGAAAGCACCACCCCAGGTGTGGCGGGTGTAAGTCAGACATTGGGTGAGGGGGTGACACGCATGAGCCACCACACCAGGCCACCCACACTAGACACAATGCTTTGGAGAGGGCAGGGACACCCGTTCCACGTCATGAAAATGCCAGATGTGCCAGGAGTGAGCCCAGGAGCCCTGACAATCTCAGGACGGTATTCTAATTTTAAATTTATTATTATTATTATTTTGCAGAGATGGGGTCTTGCTTGTTGCCCAGGCTGGTCTCGAACGCCTGACCTCAGGGCATCCACCTGCCTCGGCCTCCCAAAGTGCTGGGATGACGCGCGTGACCCACGGTGTCTGGGAAACGCAGGGCATTCTGGATTTGGAAAAGATCAAGTGCAGATGCCCCGGGCCCCGAGGCCCATATTGGGCTCTGTGGGTAAATAACGGGCTGTGTCTCGGGTGGGGCCGATGAGGAGGCCGGATGCACGTGCGCCTCCATCCTGCAGCGTTTCATTGTGTCGAGAAGGGGAGGATGGCGGCGGGGCGCGGTGGCTTAGGCCTGTCATCCTGGCACTTTGGGAGGCCGAGGCGGCACGATCACCTGAGGTCAGGAGTTCGAGACCAGCCTGGCCAACATGGTGAAACCCCGTCTCTACTAAAATTACAAAAATTAGCCGGACGTCGTGGCGGGTGCCTGTCATCCCAGCTACTCCGGGGGCTGAGGCGGGAGAATCGCTTGAACCCGGGACGCGGAGGTTGCGGTGAGTGAGGGACGGAGAAAAGAGCCTTGACTGGAACGTCCCCTCAGGCAGCCTGAACTGTTTCTTTTCCGTTGCTCTCGATGTTGAAACTCTCAGCCCACCAGAGGCTGCTTTGTGGCTACACTTTCCCAGGTGGCAAAGAGAGAGAACCCGCCCTTGGGGCCCCTCCCAGGGTCCCCTCGATGCCAACTTTAACTTCCTGCACCTGCTGTGGGCCCTGTGAGCCGGTGAGGGGGTGCAGGGGAGGCTTTACCCCATCCAGAGCAGGTGTGAGACCCCGGCCCCACTTCAGGGTCCTCTGTATTAAACCAGGGCCAACCCCCCTGGCTTGGAGCTTTGGAGGGTTCAGGGGACAAGGGTGGCCTCAGGGAGGGGTGGGAGCGTGGTGTGGGGGAGGTGGGTGACTCTGCCATATTTCAACGTGATAGTTTCCCTCCGGAGAAAAAGCAGGAACTGAGACCCAGTGCCCAAAGTCCCCCTGGGGCCAAACAGCTTTCAGAGCGTTCCCTCTGTCCTGCACAGTCGGCTCAGTCCACAACCATCCTGGGAGCTGCTCAGCGCGCCCCACCTCACACCCCCGGCCTCATGCAGTGAATCCCAGAGTCAAGGGCTCCCCACACCCCACTCCAGTGATTTCCAGCAATCAGAAGACAGCAGCCACTTCTGACAGCCGGGCTGGGCGCCCTCTCTTCCCTCACGGAAACCTGACTTACTGCGGTGCAGGGCTCCTGAGTAGCTGGGATTACTGGCCGGCACCACCACGCCCCGCTAATTTTTGCATTTTCAATAGAGACGTGGTTTCACCATGTTGTTCAGGCTGGTCTTGAACTCCCAACTGCAGGTGATTCACTTTCCTCTGCCTCGCAAAATGCCGAGATTACAGGCATGAGACACCGTACCTGGCCTACTTTTTGTATTTTCAATGGAGACGTGGTTTCACCATGTGGATCAGGCTGGTCTCAAACTCTGGACCTGAAAGTGATCCACCCGCCTCGGCCTCCAAAGTGCTGGGATGACAGGCATGAGCCACCGCACCCAGAGGACCCAACGACCCTGGATTCTTACACTGTGGCCTCACATGTTCCTTCCTGAGATCCCCCGTTCAGCGTCACGGCTGTGGGATGAACCCCATTCCCTGGGACCCACTGCAAGACCAAGGGTCAGGGTCCCTGATGTCCACCCTTCTCCTGAGTCCCCAAAATCTCTACCTGAGGGAGAGAGGAAGAGACAGAGGAGCTGAGCTTCATGCCCTCCCAGGTCCAAGAAGTCCAGACGACATCCTCAAAGCACCCCACTGCCCCTGGGGAAAATTCCACACGCAGAGCAGCCATCTTTGAAGGAAGCCCTCGCACCTCTCCCCTCCACGGCTCTGCTTTCCATGCACAGCTTTCCAGCCCGGCCGAGCTCGGGGATCTTCCTTGGGTCCCCCGCAGGGTGCCTGGTCTCTGCTCACGTCTGGGGTCTCTCCCACCTTTGCAGCTGGCTGAAACTCAGCCCGTGTTCAAGCCATTATTAAGAAGAATCGGGAGCTTCACTGGCTCGGGCCTGCTGTCTGGCTGTGTAAGGTTAGCCTAGGAGTTTGAGGCCAGCCTGAGAAACATAGAAACTTCCCATCCGGCCAGGCGTGGTGGCTCACACCTGTAATCCCAGTACTTTGGGAGGCCGAGATGGGGGGATCATGAGGTCACGAGATCAAGACCACCCTCGCCAACGTGGTGAAACCTTGTCTCTATTAAAATTAAAAAAAAAAAAATTATCCACGCATGGTGGCAGGTGCCTGTAGTCCCAGCTACTCAGGAGGCCGAGGCAGGAGAATCTCTTGAACCCAGGAGTTGGAGGTTGCATTCCACGTGAGACTCCGTCTCAAAAAAGACAGAAATAAATTGGCGGGTGTGGTGTGGGCACTTGTAATCCCAGCGACTCGGGAGGCTGAGGCAGGAGAATCGCTTGAACCCGGGAGGCGGAGGTTGCAGTGAGCTGAGATCGCGCCATCGCACTCCAGCCTGGCCACAGAGCAAGACTCCGTGTTTTTTTTTTTTTTAAAAAAGCCTCGTTCATGAGCCAGACTTGAATCCAACACTACTCTCCTTGAATCCTCGAAGCCATGCTGGGAGCCACTGAATTTCCTACACGTGGGTGAGTTGAACCGCCACAGGCAACACGTCCCAGGCTGCCCAGGACGGACATGCAGGCATTGCTCCTGCTGGGAAACGCCGCATAGAGTTCAACAATTCATTAACCACCTGTGGTTCTTCTGCAGGGAAAGCGGACAGCAACATGTCAACCAAACCCAGAAAAAGAAGCTGTTTTTTTTTGCCTTTTTTTTTTTTTTTTTTTTTTTTTTTTTGAGAAGGAGGCTTGCTCTGTCGCCAGGCTGGAGTGCAGCGGTGCAATCTCGGCTCACCGCAACCTCCGCCTCCCGGGTTCAATCGATTCTCCTGCCTCAGCCTCCGGAGTACCTGGGATGACAGGCATGCGCCACCACGCCAGGCTAATTTTTGCATTTTTAGTAGAGACGGGGTTTCATCACGTTGGTCAGGCTGGTCTCGTACTCCTGACCTCAGGTGATCCACCTGCCTCGGCTTCCCAAAGTGCTGGGATTTCAGGTCTGAGCCACTGCTCCCGGCCCAGAAAAGGAAGTTTGAAGTGACAAGCTTGTAAACTTGATGTCAACTCATGGCTAACTGCTTCCTTCTTCTTTTTTAGTGGATATATTTAACACAGAGAACGAGATGTTTTGATACCATGATAGTTACAGACACT